TGGCTCTGAAGGATTAAAAAGTGTGCCTGAGGTGTCTAAAATTCTTGATTTAAATTTTCCAACTGAGGAACTTTATCAGGAGCTAAATTGGCTTGCACTGGGCCCAGAATGCCACCCTCCACTTTGTGGTCCAATTATAGTCGTGTATTGAACAGTATGCACTACAGCCCCAAAAGCACAATGTGACTCCTTAATGTCACTTGTTGCTAGTGTCTTAGGGTCAGTGGACCTGCTGCATTTATGCCAACTAGTGCAGAGCTGCCTCTGGATGTGCTCTTCCACAATTGCACTACATTATGAACCCCTTGGCTTCTGTTGTTGTAATGACAGTGTTTGAAGTGAATAAAATCCTCTTGGAAACAATAGTTTAGAAAATTTCTGTCATCTCTATAGTCATTGATGCCACTTATAAGGTTATCTTGTAGGCGCACTTATATCCTGGGCAGCTGGCTAGACTGACAGCTTATTTTTCAATATCTGGCCAATGATAGGGACTCAGGAGATCTGATATTTGATCGCCCCCAGGTATTGAGCATCATGTTATCTCAACAATATGTTACAGCATGTTATTGCATCATGTTATAGCAACAATAAAAAAGGCTGCTTTAAGGACATTATGAGAGACAATTATTATTTTTTTATGTCTTAAAGCAGACCCTCCAGAACATCAGCAAGCAATATATTAGCAATTAATTTGAATTAATTATATATTTTGAAGAGCTTTATAATTCAAGATTGTAGTCTATTTGCTCATTTTCCTATTATTCTCCATTGGCAAGTGCTACTTTATTGGGAACGCATACCATATTTGAGGACGGGAAGGATTTTTTAAATATTGCATAGAAGATAGTTTAATGATGCCTGAAAATATTTTATCCAAAACACTCCTAGAGTTCTTTCCAGATCCTGTGGCCTATCATTCCAAAGGGAAATGCTTTTTATTACTGTTGAGCAGAATCTATGAAACAAGCCTGGGAAATGACAATAAATGATATTAAAATTTACAAATTAGGACAGAGGGAAGCAGTAAATAGCATTTACTTTGTCTAGATTTACTACTTTCCAACTTTTCAATTTGCTATGTCTGATCTTTTCTCCTCTTAGGGGGAGAGGAGTACAGAGAAACTTTTTTCTGCTTCTGCAGTCTCCCAGTGTCTGGCTTTTGACTTGTCTATGGAGAACAGCCTTTGGGTTCTCACAGGGCCCTCAACATTTTCAGTCTCTCGCCAACTCTGTGCATTCTCCTTAGTGAAATCCCCCTCTCTCCTGCCACCCACTCCTCAGCTCCCTTCTCACCACTCTCAACCCGCATTCAGGGTCAGGACGTTCAAATCCTGACTGACTTGACCCTTTCCCAGTGGTGTGACCTAGGACGCATTGCTGTTTTCTCCTCATTTCATCATCTGAAAATGAAAATAAAAATACCTAACTTGAAGGTGCAGATCAGAAAGAGACATTATGGACAGTGTGCCCCATACAGTGCCTGGCACAGAAAAGCACTTGGTGTCTATCAGCCTTTCCCTGCTATGCCAGCAGCTTTCTCTCACTTCAACCATTGATTTATCGTTCTGAAGATATCACTTTTGTCCTGGTGCTCCCTAAATCCCGGGCATTAAACATGAGACACAGCAGAGTGGTCCAATTAGATTAGACAAGGGTTTCTCAACATTTTTTTCACTATCACCTCCCCACTCAATGATATTCTAATTCCACAGCTGCACTGCCTATCTGTTTATGTCCTGTATGGGTACCTGTGCTTTATCCATAAAGCACAAGAACCCTCCAAGCACTAATTTTCACCCCCTTGGAAGCAACATCACCCCACTGAGAATGTGTGGCATAGACCGTGAAACCTCAACACTGAATTTGCATCCTGGCTCTGCCACATATAAACCATATGGCCTTGAGCAAGCTGCACTGCTTCTCCTTGCCTCAGTTTCCTGTGTGTAAAATAGGGTAATAATAGCTGCTTCATAGGGTCACTGGGAGGGACTACACAAGTTGGCATACACAGAGGACGTAGAACATTGCCTACTACATACCCAGTGCTCCACAGTTGTTTGCTGTGATGGTTCCCAAAGCTCCCCAGAGCCCACAGCATAAAGTGGAAATATGCTATGGCTTGGCATTCAAGGCAGAACCACATCCTCACGTCCCTTTCCTGTGTCTCTCCACAGATCCCACAAAGCTTACTCAAGCCGAGTCTCCAGCATGTCTTGAATGCGCCGCTCACTGGCCAGGCTGTTCCCTCTCCTCACAGCCTCTCTGCTTTGGCTCTTGCCTTTAAGCCAGCACAGCACACCCTCCCTCCTCTGCCCAACAGAAACCAAGCTGTCCTCTGCATTTACTCTCTCAACTGGAAAAACTAAGAATGATAAAGAACTTGCAGACAAGGGGCATTTAAAACAGAGGGCCAAGCCACAGGGGCTGGGGAAGAATGGATGGAGACTGGGTCTAAGGACTGAGGCTACACCCAGAGTGGGGAACAGGGTCCAGGAAGGAGAGAGTACCCAGGACAGAGCCAGAGATAACTTCACAGAACCCTACGAAGTCAAGGAGAAGGCTGCTGAGGCTCTTCTCAGTGCGCTGAATGTTCCAACAATGCAAGCCCCAAGCGCTCTTTACTCAGCCCTTCCTCGGGGCTGTGTTTGCAGTGAGCAACCTTGAGGATGAGATGGCATCTCCCTCGGGGCCAGAAAGCAGGCTTGCTATAACATGGCACATTCCTCGCACCCAGAGTTCTTCCACGTCATGCACCCCCATGTGTGCAGTATCCATCTGGGCCCGTGGCATTGCCCACTGGATTGGGGGGCTCATGCTGCTTGCCCTGCCTCAGGTCCTGTCTGCTGCCAGCATCCATGCAGCAGGAGGGACTTGCTTGTTAGCCTCAAAGGAGGGTGAAATCAAGCTCCAGATCTGACAGCCAGGTGAGGTGGGAAGGGAAGAGCACCCAAAGTGTGCACAGGTTGGGAGGTGGTGTGTTGGAGATCATGGAAGTTGTTAGAGCATAGTAGGAAGTAAGAACAGGTGGATCATGCTAAGGTCATGCTTACAAGGCCATGGACTTAAACTGAGGATGAGGAGAGCCCTTGGAGGGTTTCATGTTGGCAGGTTTGGGTTTTATTTTTTTATTTATCTTTTTTAAAAGATGACTGGTAAGGGGATCTTAACCCTCGACTTGGTGTTGTCAGCACCAGGCTCTCCCAAGTGAGCGAACCGGCCATCCCTATATAGGATCCAACCCTGGGGCCTTGGTGTTATCAGCACCACACTCTCCTAAGTGAGCCACGAGCCGGCCCGGCTTTGGGTTTTAGAAAGAGCCCGTTGGCTTCTTGATCAGTGGGGTAAATGGCGAGAGGAACAACAGACAGGTGGGAGGACTTGGACTTAGATGGACATGGGGAGTGAACCAGGCCCCAGCTGGAGAGGGACACATGGAATCGCCATCACAGGGATTGTCCAGGAAGAATGTGGGAGTGGAAGAGAGGGAGAGTCTTGTCCCAAAAAGGAGCATATGGAGGAGCAGGAGAGAAGTTCAAGGCAGGGAAAGGGGCTGAAGCAGCTAGCCCCGTTCAGTGTACCCTGAGAGATATGTCATGGGGTAGGGGCAAGAAAGGGCCAGTGTCCACTGGACTCTGCCAGCATCCTGCAGCCTTCTGGCCTGAGGGCAGGGAGAGGTGGTCAAACCCTGAGGCCAGGAGGAAACAAAGAAAGGAACAGACCACCAAACCTGTAGCACCCAGTCCCAGCCCCCAGCTCCGTCCTGGCCACTGCTCACCGGGAGCTGAGGAGGGGCAAGGTGGGGAGCACACAGAGGACCTGCTGCCCACAGGAGACCACAGCGACCAGAGCCGAGGGAGTGCTGGGGCGTAGGCTTGGACGTGGCCAGCCAGGAGCCAGGGGAGGCCTCAAAGAGTCCCTGATCATTGAATGAATGTGAACTGAAGCCCTACTGTGTGCCAGGCCCTGGCTAGGCCCTGGGCTGGGGACAGATTGGATTAGTGCTTGCCCTGAGGATGGATGGGTCAGGCAGGTGTTGAAGATGGGAAGGTGATGAGGCAGTGATGGGTGCGATGTGTGTTATGATCAGAAGGCCAAGGCACTAGGGCAGAGAGCAGGAGTGGGAGTATGGCCTGGGAGAGCCAGGGCCAGCTGGGCAGGGAGAATGGGAAAAGGAGCCTGGGCCAGGTGGTGGGCGATAGCTGTGCCCTCAGATGAGTAACTTGGGATTGACTGGTGGGTACAGGGAGCCATCAAATGCTTTCAGGCAGGGAAGAGAGGCAAAAATATTTATTAAGCATCTGCCAGGTGCCAGGCACTCATTAGATGCTTTCTAGTACCCATGCTTCTCAAACTCAGAGTGCTTACCAACCTCCCAAGAATTTCACTAAAATGCACATTTTAATCTACATGAGATGCTGCACTTTTAATAAGCTCCCAGCCCTGGGGCCACACTTTGAGGAGACAGGCTATAGCTCATTTAATCTGCATCCCAGTGCTGACCAGTGAGTATTATGGGCTCCCTTTTACAAGGAGGAAAACTGAGGCTCCATGAGCCTTCAACAGCCCTGGGGCCACACTTTGAGGAGACAGGCTATAGCTCATTTAATCTGCATCCCAGTGCTAACCAGTGAGTATTATGGGCTCCCTTTTACAAGGAGGAAAACTGAGGCTCCATGAGCCTTCACAGCTTGCCTGAAGGTGCCTATTAGTGAGAGCTGAACTGTGCTGTACTGACCCTGGGCTGCTCCGGCCCTCCACCCATGTGGGGGCAAATAGCACAGTCCCCAATCATCTAGCTCTCTCCAGCTCCCCAGGTCTGCCCTCAGGCTTGGATCTACCAGGTTTGTGAATTCAGACCCTCCTGGGGTCAGCTGGTCTCCAGCCTGGAGATCTTAAGCTTGTCTGAAGCAGCATCTAAAGATAGCCTGCCTCACAGGAAGCCAGATGCTATTGGCTAACTTTGCAAATAAAGATGCCCAAGAGGGAGGGAAAGGGAAATACTGCCTCTGGTGGAGTCTGCGTAGGACAGAGTAGCTGACTGGAACCTCCCAAGTCTCCCTTCCCAGGTCCAGCCCAGGTAGGCTCAGAGGGCTATTCAGCACCTGTGGGTGGGGTAGGATGGGGCACAGAGGTCAAAGTAGGTAAAGATGCTGTTTGCCTTACATTTGCCTACAAAAAGAGACCATTCTCTTGAGGATTCTTCAGCCTATGTCCAAGGGGGTGGAAGAGTGGGAGGCTTATGTCATCTAACACACCCAACACAATGGGATATGATTAGAAACATTGATAATTACATTTTAGGGACATGGAGAAAAGCTCATGATTTGACATTAACTGGAAAAAGCATGACATAAAATTGCATCTGGGTGATATTGAGGAATTATTGCTAATTTTTTAAGATGAGAAATAGTATTGAAGTTTTTTTTTTGTTTGTTTTGTTTTTTTACAAAGACATCTTTCAGAGACCCACACTTAAGTGTTTATAGGTGAAGTTAAATAATTCGTTAGGGCCATGAAGTGGGAAGCAGATGAAATATTGACCACCAGTTGCTAATTGTTGAGGTTGGGCGATGGGTGCAAGGGGTCACTCTCTGCTTTAACATATGTTTGAAGATTTAACAATAAAGAGTTTTTTAAAGGGCTTGCATTTTAATACAAATATAAACGTACTTAATATAAATATAAAATATGTATAAAGATTAGATGGAGAAAAGCTAAAAGATTGCTGTGGTTGAGTGTAGGAAGTTAGATTGTGGATAGTTCTGTGGGGTTTTTTCCTCTTTCTTCCATGCTTTTTTGTGCCATCTAAAATTTTTATAATGAGCTTCTATCGCATTTATAGTAACAACTATTTTAATTAATAAATTGTTGGCACAAATTCAATTGTTGATTGTGATATATGCTGTTATAGCCATTGGAAGGATACAGGCTCAAAAGGTTTTGTGGTCGAAAACATAGTCTTTGGAAAGAAGTTAGAAGTGCAAGACAGGAGGGAATACATCGGAGGACTGCCTGCAGCTCGCTATTTCTCAGTGCTTGCCTTGTGTGTAGCAATCACAGCCTCATGGAGGCCTGCAGTCCCTGCCTTGTTTGTGAGTTTATAGCTGAGTCCAGAGAAAGCTAGGGAATTTTAGGATTCTTCCTCCCCTCTCCCCCACCCCCCCAATTTTTTTTTTCCTTTTTCGAGTACTTGAAATGGAAAACTTGAGATAGGAAAAAGTTGAGCCAAAAGGAAATAAGAAGATTGAACTTGTGAAAGTGGGCAGGAAAACTTCACAGGGCATCCTGTGCCCTGAGGGTGGTTTGGAGGGGTCTGGGCTTCCTGAAAGGAGGCTGGGTGGGAGGGGCACTGGGCTGCTGAGCCTTGGGAACTACTGTGAGTGGTTCGGGGATAGGGGTCAGTGACTGGGGTTTGGAACACCTGGAAGAGAGAAATGGGCTTGGGAAGGCCAGAGTGGATTCTCATCTTTCACCGTCCTCTTTGCTTGGCTGTATTTCCACAAAAGGTTGCAGAGCAGGAAACAGTCTCAACCCCAAATTCAGTTTGATGCCTCTTAGCCCCCAGGCTGACCTGGCACTTTTCCCAGCCCTGGGAAGGGAGCACCTACTATATGTAAGTCACATGCCAGTCTCCATAAAATCTACTCTCCAGCCCTGATCCACAAGTGTCCCCTCTTCACTGATGGGGCCCGGGAGGCAGCTTGGCTTTGGAATGAAATCCTGGCTCTGTGCTTAGTAACTATGTACATCACCTAGCCTTGCTAAGTCTGTTTCCAGCTTTTAAAACAGATTGGCCATGAGTCCTTGCACTCAGGTAATGAATACATGTTGGCTCTCTGTGACGATTAATGGGATGGTATATAACATCCCAAGCACACCACCTGGCCCATCTTTGGTGCTCAAGAAACAACATATGTTGTTATCATGGTATCATGGGGTAACTGAGGCTCAGAAAATTTGAGTACCTTAAGAACACTGAAGACTTGTGAGTGAGGTTGTGAAGGACCCAGAGTTATGGGGGCAGAAGATGAAAGGATGTGCTGGACCTGACCCAGCTCAGGACCGACTTCTGTTCCCTCCCCCACTGTGCCCCAGGCCCAGGAGACACCCTTCTCCACCCTGGTCAGCTGTGGAAGAGCAGCAGTGCAGGTACGGTCCTCCCAAACCAGAGACCCTGACCTCAAAGAACCTCTTTCTCAGGATCCAGGGCATCAAGCTGCTCCTCCCCAGCCCCAACATCTGACCCAGGGGCCTAAGCCCCCAAACATTCAGAACTAGCACCTGTAACAGACAAGCTAAACTGGGAGTGGAACTCCTGCTGCTTCATAGCAGGTCACTGTCGTATGAGGCAGTGGAGTCCACATCTTAGCTGACTTTTCCCAGGTCTTGTTCTCAGCAGCACAGTAGAGGAATTCTGAGAGGTTAAGCTCTCTTGAGTCACTCATCTGCCCAGGAAAGCCAAAGGAAGGTTGAGGCTTCCAGCTTAGTCTTCACCCTGCCTGCCCTCACTAGGTGCTCAGAATATGCTGACTACCATGCGGGGTGGATTCTCATGGCCCTCTGACCACAATCAGTGCTTCAACCACCTCATCTTCTTGTTTAGCCAAAGTGCAACTATTTTAGGTTATGAGTCTTCGTAGGGAAGAAAATCTATATCACATTTCCTTAAATATCTTTGCAAACCACCTTGTTCTTTTCCTTAAATTTATGTTTATTGTGAAATATCACTCACTGAAAGGATAGTGTCCAGGTTAACAACTTATTAAAAATTGATCTCCACCACCATCCAGGCCAAAGAAGAGAGCCTTGAGGGCACCCGAGAAGCCTCCTTCATGTCCCTTCCTGACCACAGCCTCCTCCTGCCCCACAAGTAACCACAATCCTGACTTACAGTGATTGCTTCCTTGCTTTTCCTTATAATTTGACCTAATCTAAGTATACATCTCTAAACCATATGGCTTAGCTTTGGCTATTTTCGATCTTCACATACACAGATTTATACAGTATATCCACTTTTAGGTCTGGCTTCTTTGGCTCAACATTGAACTTTTAAAATGCATCCATGGGCTGGCCAGTTAGCTCAGTTGGTTAAGAGCTCAGTGTTGTAACACTGAGGTCAAGGGTTCAGATCCCTGTACTGGCCTGCTGCCAAAAAAATTAATAAATGCATCCGTGTTGTAGGAGATATACGTGCACAAAAATTTTCATTGCAACATTTTCCCAACTAGCCCCAGAATGAAAGCCATGCACATGTGCATCAACAGTAGAAATGATAACAAATTGTGGAATGGTCACACAGTGGAATCCTACACAGCAATGAGAATGAACAGACTACATCCACAGCAATAGCATGGGTGAGATGCTTCCAGAAATACTGACATGGATTTGCAGGTAAAGGCAAAATTGGTCCATATCCATGGGGCACTTATCTAGTGCATATCTACCAGACACCATCTGTATTTCCATGAACAAGTATTTATGGAAATTCTATAAAATTCCACTGCTATCAGTTTTCTATAACTTACAGCATTGTAAATTAGCTCAGACTATAAAAGTGGGAGATAGCCCAAAAGGGAGTGCTGGAGAGGACACTCAGTAATTTTGTGTGTGTGCCTATTTCAGAGTCTTTCATAATATTTCCTTATAACTCCCTATCCCTAGCATGGAATTTGAGTCTCCTCTGCTTCTGTCTCCTCAGCTTTGGCTTTCTCTGCCTCCTTACCTGAGCCCTCCACTCAGGCTAAACTGGGCTTCCCTGAGTGCTCCAGGAACACGTTGGTTCCTCCCAACCCCACCATCCTCGCTTCCTTCTGTTCTTAGTATATTCCCTCACATTCTCCCCACCTGGCCTTGGCCCTTGGAAACCTCCCTATGCTCAGACTCTCTGCACCTCAGCTTCAAAGCCCGCCCCCCATTCACTGCCACCACCATCTCTGTCTACCTGGAAGACTCCTCTCACCCTCTAAGACTCAGCTTCAATGGCAATTTTCATTGTGACACCCTCTTTATCACCTTTCCCCAGTTCCTATGGGGACAGATATAAAGGTCCAATCCTTGGGCTTCCCATGACTTTTCTTATATTCTGTTTCTAAACAATAATAAACATTTACAGGAACTGTTTCTTCAAAATTTTAACCTATGCAGAATTTAGCACAGTGCCTAGTGTTGGAGAAATGTAATTAAAAACAAAATCTTCTGCCAACACGGAAATCCTTTCCACAAAGGTAGTAGAGAAAGAAAACAGTTTTATTATTGAACAAGCAGTAAGCCAGATGCACATCATAGGCTAAGAGAGCGCAAAGACAGAAAGAAATCTCACCCTTTTAGATGGCCAAGCAGACACAACCCCTTACATACATATCCTCAAGATAAACAATAGCTAGTCATCTCACTTTTTATACATAGTTTATTCTAAATTTACCTGGTAAATAGGTGGCCATTTGTGTTAGCTAACTGGCTCTACCCAGAGGAGAAACATACTTCTCTTATCTTTATGACAACAAGTAGTTTTGCAATCTGGAGCCAGTCTGGGGAGTTAGGCTCCTACCCTCCCACAGACACTGGACAATAAGTGTGCTATCTCCCTTGATGCTTACATTTCAAAGGGATGATGGCCCAGATCCTTGAAAAGATGTTCCTAAGTCATAAAGCTGACATAAGGCCTATTAAGTTTCAAAAGTATTTATATACATTCAAAGAGAGGAGAAAGGACTTGCAAGCTTTCTAAAGTAAATGCTGTGAGGAAAAAGAGGTGAAGAGAATCTTTTCCCTTATTTTCAACACGGAAAATTAGCCTCTTATTTTTAATTTTTATTTGCCCTTACACTAGTATATGGTAAAGATGCTTAATAAATATTGGCTTAACTGATAATTAAATACAACTTAAAAGACCATCTCTTTCTTAATTATTAAAAAAAGTTATAAAGCATTTCCTTTCATAATTTCACAGTTTACTTTGACAGAAATAAATACCATAAAGTACGTTGGAGAGGAAAGGGGAGGGAGGGGTGTCAAACCCAAACTAATGGCAGGTTTTGTAAAGGGGCAACTCCCTAACCCAGAGAGGCCTTTGCCTTG